GCAAAGTCAAGCTCTAAATGAAATTGGTGATGCAAATACTATTATGATGAACACTAAGATTGCATTAATATCAAGTTACAGTCCTTTCAATAGCTACAGATTAAATTTATTTAATTTGGTACATTAAATGATAAACTCAATACTTTATTCTTCTGCATGGGACAAGAGGGAAAATTTACCCAGGACATTATATGAAATTTCCCTCTAAAACCTTTGTGCATGCGTGTGTGTGTGTGTATTTTTTTTTTTAATCAAAAGAAAACCTAATGACATTATTAAAATCATTCTAAAATTACTCAATAATTTAAATGCTCTTGTTTATGTGACAATAGAGATTTAAAACTAGCATACTTATCATGCTGTCACATCCAGTTATATATTTAAGATAGGTAAAAGAAAGAAGCCATGATCAATCTGCCCTCCTTAAGCCAACCCAAAGCCAAAAGTGAGAATCTTGTTCTTAAAGAAAAGTGCTCATTCAAGCATCAAAGATGGTAAAAGATCAGTGAAAAATATAGGAATGTTCATTTATTTTCACAAAATTCAAAATTCTTATAAAAACTAAAATTGCAAATAAGCAGTTGTTTTTAAAAACAAACAAAAAAAGGTATAAGGCATGAGATCTATGAGCCTAGAAATTTTATTATTAACAAAATCCACAGCATGTCATCTGCAAATTAGAAATAATCCTAATACCTACCTCTTATGGTAGTAGTGAGGACTAAATGAATTAGTACATTTATAGCATTTACATTACCTGGCATATAGAAAGATCTCAATAAATGTTAGCTATCATCCAAATATACCACAATAATCAAAGTACTTGGAGACCTAGAAACTAACCTTCTTGAATCAAAATAATTTATACTCCAATAGTAAGAGTACCTCTGAAGAACATACAAGGTCTTGGAGTCAATTATTCAGAGACAAAGTACTTTGATTTAAAAAGAAAAATTAGTCTTGCATTAAAATAAAATCAGTATCCTACAGAAAACTGGGTATGGTTTAGATATCAAAGACCTACTCTACTTCCCTCTCCAGTAACTTGTGAATTACTGCAGACATACTGAAAAGATGATGCTTTGAGATCTAAAATTCCATAATCAGACAGACCTAGATTTTTTGTGTTTTACATATAACCTTCAAGCTCATAATATGAATGGTCAGGAGAATTTTTCCACTTTGATATTCACTAATTTATACTTCCATTGCCTGTTCTAAGATAACAATTCCCACAGCAAAGGTAAAAGTTTCAATGGCAACAAAGCTTCAATGAGTAACTGCTACCTCCTAAAATCCCCAAATATTACACAGCCAGAAGTTAAAAACATAAAATTGATCATGGAGGCCTTTTCTTTAAACTCTATTCCAGTATATTTGGTCCAAAAACACTGCAACATTATAAAATACACTGTTAGTTGAAATTCAAGCAAGTGATTCATCATCTGGACTGGGTTTAACGTAGGGCTCTCCTAAAATAAACAATCTCCTTACCTCTATATCTCAGCAAACTTTTCCATTTTTAATAGCAAAGAAAAATGTGAGGAGGAGAAAGGACCACAAGGAAAAATGTTATTAATTTTTATTATTATTTTAAAACTTAAACTCCTATTTCAAAACCAAAAGGACAAATGGATAGAAAATTATAATCTAGAGCAAAACTTCATCCTTCTCATCATGTAATTAAGATTGTTGGTGCTTATGACTTGATTTCAATCTTCCTTGTACTTTGTGTTTATATACATATATATATATATGAAATGGATAGAAAATTATAATCTAGAGCAAAACTTCATCCTTCTCATCATGTAATTAAGATTCTTGGTGCTTATGACTTGATTTCAATCTTCCTTGTACTTTGTGTTTATATACATATATATATATATATATATTGGATAGAAAATTATAATCTAGAGCAAAACTTCATCCTTCTCATCATGTAATTAAGATTGTTGGTGCTTATGACTTGATTTCAATCTTCCTTGTACTTTGTGTTTATATACATATATATATATATGGGGGGGGAAGGTGGTCAATAAGGGAGATCCAAACCCCTAACGTTGGTATTACAAGGTAGCATAGCACTCTAACTAATTGGGCTACTCTGCCAGCCCTGTACTTTGTTTTTAAATATGAAAACATTCATGTGAGAAAGCCCTGAAAAGTAAATTCATACATTTTGTCATATTACCAAAAATAGCTTGAATCCTCAATAGAATAAATGTTAACAAGTACGGGTCTTAACTTTAAAGATGGGCATAAAAACTATTAAGTCATCAGAAAGAGACTAGCCAGGTATTCATCCTAAGTGAACAAGGTCAATTATGACAACTAAGGAAAAGAGTCATCTTAAAGTTTTAAAATCAAATCAAATCTTCCTAATCATTTCTATTGGTTTAAAACTTGACTGCATATGCCTGTTAACAGACCAAGAGTCACAAAAAGAGAGTTCTTGTCACTTTTAATTTTTACTAAGTCAAAATTTTGGTTTTCGGGCATACGTAAAAATCAATTTTTAACACATTATAACTGATGTTATAATAATAAATTTCACCCTTTTTATTGTACCCAAAACACTAGTTGATAAACTATGCTTAACAAAAGCTGTATTTATACAATAAAGCAACAAGTATTTATTGAGCATCTACTATGTGCCAGGCAACTAATCTTTTTAAAATATGATCAGACGTAAGGTTAATAATTGTCCTGTATTACAGAAGTTTTCATCTGTATTCTCACCATTCCCCCATCAAAAAACAAAAACAAACCAGAAATAGAACTTCCATTTTGCAGGCCCTAGTAACCATTTATACAATGGAAGCTGAAGAAATAACAGGAGGCAAAAATTATCATCTAGAAACTAGATTTCCAAATGTGATTTAAGAAGTATTATTCTTATGAAATAGCTACTAAATAATTACCTAAAAAGTTCCATCAATAATAAATAAATCCTTTTGAGAATTCATCCAAATTCATTTATACAATCTTCCCACCAACTCTTTCCCACTATTTCTTATGCTGGGAGTTAGAAAATTTCACAGAGGTGGTAACCACGCCTTCTAATACCAAAGCATAGCCTCAATATCAATCAGCCTAAAGAACTTTTTGTTGGGCTTTCAGGCTTAAAGAAAGTTCAGAATTACTTAATTTATTAGAAGTAATTACAACATTGGAAATTATTAAGAAGTATGTTCTATTACCACCGGAGAACCCAAGGACTTCTGAGTTCTACACAGGTAGAGGAAAGTTGACAAAAGGGATAGATCGAGGACTAGGGTTGGCAAGCTTTCCTTATAGGACAAATAGTAAATATTTTAAGCTCTGTGGCCAGTCGATACAACTCCTCTCAACTCTGCCACTATAGTGGGAAAGCCACCACAAACAATATCTAAATGAAAGAGCATGGCTGTGTTGCAATAAAACTTTACAAGGAGTTTACCAACATAAGGATCTAAAACAAGAGTGTGAGAAGCATGTCAAAATGTGGGTTTGTTTGCATTTTAACTTTACCTGAGTTTAAGCAAAAAAGCAGATAAAAATAGGTTGAAGTAAATTAATCAGCAAAATTTTATTAATAAACCTCACATGCATCTAATCTAACCATGTTGATTTTCTCGTACTATTTTGAGCTTCACTAACCCTTCTATGTTTTTACAATTCTAACTCAATTACTCAAAATTTCCAAAGTCATATTTAAAATTAAAAAACAGATTAAACATGCAAAATGATTAATACTTACTAAATGCTTCCACCAGTGTCTACTACTTTGTACAGGCCCTTTAGAGTATTCAGTCTGGGGATTCACACATTTCTGCAGAGAACAAAAAGGATATAATTTTATGCACAGAAAAAGACAAAAATAGATTATTAAAAGCCATAATTTATATCAAAACTTCAACATCTTGTAAAGATGACTCACCAATAGACCAATAAATGAATATATCAATTTATGAATATAGTGTAAACATGAGAGAGAAAAGCTCTAAGGATCTTAGATTTGGCTATACAGGAGGCTCACATATAGAATAAGTTACTATAAAATCACAAGCGTAAGTCTCAGCTCCCAAGTATTCCAAAAGGGTAGGTAAATATTTGGGCTCCTTAAGTGGATCTGATGGGCAGCGAGGGTTGGAAATCACTCCTTACCAGCATAGAACTATTTTATCTTCTGGTCTTTCATCTAACTATACTTTCAAGCCTTATAAAAGAAAGCTTCCATTACCTACCTGATGAGGTCACTTTTCTCACTTCTTAGTATTATTCCCCATTATTGTATACTTTAACCCTCACTATTCTAAGATAAAGTATTAGAAAGAAACCTTAGTCATCATTTCAAACTACTACTAATTGTATAGATCTACTCAACTAAAGCAACACTAATCCTTTCTTAAAAAATGTGCTTTATAACAAATGTATTTTATCCGTACCTTTCACTACCTTGACTTAAATACCTCATAACTAAACCCAGAAATAGGATATCGCAAGTATCTTCTGAAAAGGTATATACTTTTTCAGTCACCCGTTCCCACGTATAATAATCACAATGTTTAGAGAAACAAAAAAAGTTGTTTTTAAAGTTCATTATGAAAATGTAGCAATTTAAGTTTTTTAGAAGGCAACCAACGTAAATTTCGGATTTAAGTTAAAACTAAGCTACCCAAATGCTTTTCTAGACTAGTTTTCAAATTATACAAGTCCCTTACCAAATCTAAATTCCTTTAGTCATTCTGATAAGTCATAATCAAGAAATATAGCAAAGATCTGATTCAAAATTACTGTAAGAGGAGGTACTAAAATATCTTCCCAACAAGCTAACAAATAAAGCAATTTAAAAGAAATACATTATTTTTTAGCTTCCAATTTTAATCTGACCTTATAAGGAAGAGAAAATTTTGAGAACAAAGACAAATCTTAAACCACCCAAGTAAAATAAATTGACTTAACCCCTAGGAGAAGGGTAGAATTGACTTAAGGAATCTTGGTGAAAGAAGTGTCTATTGGGAAATCCCTCACACTTGGTTTGATAATGTGCTTATAGATAAGCTACCTAGGAGTACAAGAAGTATGTGTGTGCCTCTGGTTTCTCACCCCACCAGCAACAGAAAAGGACTGGGATCTCACGTCGTATCACCATGAAAATTACTGACACCAATGTAATCTACCATAGCATTTCCTTCCCCCAAATTAACAAAGTCTGAAATAGTACTTTGCCATCCTTTGAAATGGGGCAGGGGGTAGCAGAGTTCAGCTTAATTAAACAGACTACGAAAGTTGGTGATTTTGCTCAAATTTCTACCTACCCTTAATATTCTGAAATTTATAAATGGTTTCTGATTTAATAATAAATTACAGGTATAATACATGTAACCATTTTGATTGCTGGTCTTTTTTTAAAAAGGAGAGAATGACTTTAGTCAATTCTTATATTATCATTATTAGTCCATTTGTGCTTTTCTTAGTAGACTTGGCTTTGTCACCTTTTAAATTCCTTAAAACAATTTTTTTGGGGTGGCTGGCCTGTACAGGGATCCAAGCCCTTGACACCTCAGTGTTATCAACACTGCATTCTAACCCTAACTGAGCTAACCAGCAGACTCCTTAAAACAATTTTTCTTTAATTTAAATGAATAGTAAAAATCTAAGAGAACTATGAAATTTAAGAAATCTTCTACAAAAATACGGTAATGATAAAGTCATTAACATTCCTAAGAAAACTATCATAAGACAACTCACAAACCATTAAAACCATTAAAAAAGTATATATATATATCTCTAGCTTGATAGTCTAAACTAAAATAATTATGACTATTATGCAATACACATTAAAGATATAATTGCTTGTTTGGGAAATACTCAATTTCAAATAAATGGCTTAGTTTCAAAAGGCAAAGAAACATTTTCCAAAACAAAGACCTATTACGCATTATACAATGTATAAATCAAAACTTTTACCAAATTGTTATAGAAAACATGCTACTTGAATGTTACAATAAAGTTACATATTTATAACATCAGGTCCAGAATATCCTTCAATTTAAATCCTAAAGATTAATCATTTGGAAATAACAGCCAATTTGAAAATAAAAGTTTGCATTGAACCACTCAATCTGCAAGGGGAAGATACCTGGTGAAAGGAAGGTATAATATAGAAATTTCTTAAAGGAAATTAGATTATATCAGCCATGAAAACTATAAATCCTCTATCCTCTTATTTATAATCTTGGTCAGCTGTAAACATTACACTCAACTTTAAATATATTTAATAAACTATAAGATGTTTTTATTGCAGCATTCTAAATATTTCTTGTTTAAAGACAATCTCACACCTTAATTGCTTTGCTAAGATAAATTTTCCAGTATGTCTGTTTTTATACTACTTACTAATATTTTGGAATGCCTAAAAATCAATAAGTCAGGTACAGTATTGTCCCAAGTCTTATGTTATTCCAGTAGTTTTGCCACAGAAATAAACATGATTTGCCATACAAAAATTACAAAGTTTGTATAAAAGAACTAGACACTCCTTACAATTATTTTTAATCACGCAATTTCAAAGCTAAGAGGGATCTTAAGAGACTGGAAACTCCAAAGCCTTCATACAAATTTGGAGATGAAGGTCTACAAAGAATAAAATTGTCAAGATTGCAGGGCTTATATACATTAGAAGCTCGGTCTCCTTATTGCTGAATCATAGTTATATTTTCCACTCTATCACACACCTTTGATTAAAGCAGAAGATAGAGGTGTCCTTGAATATTTTTTTTCCCTTATGCCTCTTCGCAAATAATAAAACTCCAGGGGAGAAAGAATAAATGGTCCACAGACCAAATTTTTAAATAACCAAGAAACAACTATGAAGAACAGTAAACTAAACTTGAAAGAAAATTTACATTTCATATTACCTATTTCTTATAATCTACTCTAAATGTAATGTCATGGTTCATGAAACCTTCTGATTAACAGTGGCATGGCTTCTTTCATATCTGTGGAATGCCAGGTAATTTTTTGAAGTTACTATCAGAATAACAAATGCAATCCAACCCAATCACCAGCTTGATCCGATTTTTATGATTCAAGAATTAATACAAAATGCTAAAATAAAAACATTTAAGTATTTACCACTTTCGTTCTTAAGCAGAAAACAGTGGTAAATAATTTACTTTTCTTATGAGATAATTTTGAATGATATAACAGTATCTACATTATCGACTACATTTATTTTATAGATAATATATTCTACATAATAGTATCTACACTTACATTTTCCCTCATGTACCATTTTTGTCCGTATACAAAATTGGCTCAAGCAGTAAATATCAAAACACAATATAAGCACTATCATAAAGACCAAAGAACATGCAGATTTTTATAACATATGATTTATTTAAATCCTTTATCTTGTTCATAACCAAAGGGAAGCTGTATTCCACTACACCGGGGATTAACTTAGAGGTTACTCTATCATTTAGAAGACTTTTTAAAATTATTGGTACTAGTATAAAAAAGATAAGTCTTCATTTAACATTTCCAACCTTTTCCAGGTGTTTATATTTTCCTTTTTTTTATAGATTAAATTATACCTTTGGTAGGTCATCATAAATTTATTGCTTATTTATAAACTTACATTATGTTTCACATAAAAGGCCTATCAATTTTTCTAACAGTGCCCAACCACACAAATGCCAATTTAATATCCTATGAGTTACACAGAAGAAACCCTGATCTTGGCATTTGTATTAAGGAAGCTAGGGATGAAGGATGTTGACTTTTTTTTGTATGTTTTAAACTTTACAACAGTATAGTTAAAAATCTAACATTTAGTTTTCTTTTGTACACTATAATGAACACGAATTTGATCAAACTGCAAAAAGGAATTAAAAGAAGCTAAAGCAAAAGCGTATTTTTAATCACCTATTTGAATCGATGGGATAAACTAACACCAACCAATAAAAGATTGTACTTTATTTTTCACATAAATTTCAAAGAAAAAGGTAAACTTGCCCTTATTTTAATTGATCATTTGTCAATTCTAAAAATTTCCCAAGACATCCCTTATTTTGTAACATATTTCCTCTGGTCAGTCACTTACTAATAACAGCTTAACATTAATTTCCAGATTCAATGTTAACTTAGGAATAAAGACTTGTTTTCTTAAAAATATCAGTGGACATATTCTTTTCATTCATTTATCCAGATTTAAGATGTTACAGTATTGTATGTATGGTATTCTGGGCCCAATACCTATTGTGCTTGAAAATTATTTCTATCTTTTACGTTTTAAAAACACTTACTAAGCTATGAATTAGAGGTCTCTTCAGATGATGTGTTGCTTTAATTTCCTGAAAAACAACTCATTTTTGTAACTGGAAAAAAACTCATGAATTTAAAATGAATATTTTAAATCTATTAAATAGTAACTAAGATATGAAAACGTCTATTTAGTTCTTGAAGTGTGGTTCCACGTCTATTTAGTTCTTGAAGTGTGGTTCTTTTAAGAATCATATAATCATCAAATGTAAAATTCTAGGCCATTCCTAAAACGTGATCTGTATAGTCAAAAAAAAAAAAAAGGCTAAGAATGTACTTTCAGATTGTAAAGGCACAATTCTGATGATTCTACTGCAGATTTAACTATAATTCTAAAGCAGCATTTTATTGCTAAGTACTAAATGTCTTACTGCCCCAATGTAAATTACATGCATCAACTGTTTTTTAATAGTAATACAAGCCTTTTCATGTAAGGCAAAGAAATTCAATGTGTCTTTTTCTCATCCTTTTCTAGAGATAAAGAAACAGTCTAGTTTGTTTCATTGATAAACTTTGGTGATATTTTCCTACTCAAATGTTGGCAACTATTCAATTTCAGATGTTGGGTAAAAACATTTACTTACTTGCTATATAAAATACAGACTTCCCCAAAGATTTCCTTTATCTTCAATGATAAAATTCCAATGTTGCAGTCTTCAAAATGGTATACCTTTTAGGAAAACAAATAATATTCTAAACAACTTACTAAGAAACCAATCACTAGCAAGTAAGAAATAAGCGCTTTAAAACTTTTTAATTACAGAAAAGAAACAAAAACTGAAATCCACACTCAAAATCTGATTTTTAAAATGTTTTTCCCTAAAATCTATCAGCATGAATAGCAAGCTAGCTCAAATTTTCCAATAAATTTCTTTAAATACTTAAAAGATTAAAATCATTTGCACAGCTAAAAAGAAAAAAGTGTATCTTTGGTTCATGGTTTTCCCGTAAATTTGTCTTTCCTTTTTCCAAAAATTAAACAAAGGCTTAAAGGACCTTACATATCTCAAACTTCTCAAAGGGTACATTAAGTTACAATGACTGTGCACAAATACTTTTAATCTTTCATTCAGGGAAAAGGTTTATTAAAGGCTTTGTAAAATTATTTCAGATATTTAGTTTTCATAAGCCCTACGTTTTAAAAAATCACATATAAATATTCATTGGTTACTTGAAATTTAAATTACCACAGAACAAAACAAAAACCTAAGAAGCTAATTTTACGTCAAAGTAATAAAAATTTACCCAAGCTTACCTCAAATAAAAAAACTGTATTTGTTCAGAACCATCAGCAACCAAATTAATTTTAATCTTGTAAGTTACCTTTTAAAAAGAAAAACAGGAAGATGATATCAATGTTTTTATTTTTATACATTTCTTAGCCAAAGAGTCAGTGTGATAAAACAATGAGAAAATATTCCAAAGACAAAATCTATGTGCAAATTTAAGAGACAACTCATCCACACACAACCTGTACATTTAACATTTAAGTTGCAGTAATTTCTTATCTTAATATCTATCAGTCTCTGTTTTCCTCATCTTTTGGTTGTATTGACAAATACTAGGGATTAAGGCATTGGAATTAAAAAGAAAGAAAATGCACATCTTTGGGCAGATTTAAGATTATGCCCTTGTTTTTATTTTTATTTTTCCTTTTTGATGCCAGGCAATTTAAAAAGTTTACCATTTTTAAAGACTGAAATCATCTTAACATTTCCTTTACCATCTACAAGTACCTTTTACAATTATCAGCAATTAAAAATTAACTCTTCCAAGAGAAATTAGTGAAGTTAAAATGGCCACTGGTTACTTTAAATTTTAAACCACAAGTTATTTGATCTCACCAAGTAGGATGTTAGCTTTGTTTTTTAAGCAAGTCTAAAACTTGTAGCATCTGTGACCTTCACTCAATTTCAACCAGGGTCTTGAGTATTTTCAGGCTTTCTCCTCCCCCATTTATCATGTAAAAACATCTCTAAAGATGTTTAAGGAGATTAAATTGCTAGCAATTATTTTGCATTTCACTATTCAGAAAGGATACTGAAAAACTAGATTCAGAGTATCAATTTAAAACCAATTTCAGTATTCAAAAATTTAAACCAAAACTGGTATTTAAACAACAGATTCTGTAAAATCAAGATATACGCAAATAATATAAGATGTGACTAGTATATGGAAACTATTCAAAAATAAAACAATTTTACTGGAAAAAATACCCTTAGAAATATGGTCAAAGAAACCAGTGTTTTTGATTTTAAATGTACTGTAAGTCTGCCCAACACTATTTTTACGTAGATCTGCACCTTTACAACACAAGAGGTCCGCAGAATGAAGACAAATATATTCTAAAATACACAAAGGTTTGTGCGTTTCTGGTTTGTTCTTCAAACCATTAAACTTAAATTCCACTTCAAACATTTTTGTTGTTGTTTAATTAGAGACTACACAAAGAACTCTGCAAGATTTTCTGAAAACAGTATTTTTAAGATACTGTTCAGTTTTAAGCACAGCTAGATTTTTATACAAGCAACAAATGCAACAAATATGGCTCCTCTTCATCGCCCATTACCGAGAGCAGTCCTACTTTAATATTTACACTACGAGAAAGTAACTTCACGAAGAGACTTGCTGTCAGTATATTCCTTTGTAAGTTTTCCGATCATGGCTTGTTATAACACAATATTTCTTAAAATAATAAAATAGTGAACTTAAACTTTTAAAGACTAGGACCTGACCCAAGTACGTTCTAACACTCAGGTGTGAGAAGTTACAAATAACGGCTCCTTATGACGTTTTTTAAAAGTACCACACAGAATATTTAATCATATTCAAATATCCGGATGTCAGTGATACTGGCGTAATTACTCGGTAAAATAAACTATCTTAATCAAACGTCATCGTCTAGCACCGTAATTACCAAATCTATTCCCATTAAATAGCCTTGACGATACAGTAAACTTGTCTTCCTAATTTTTAAATACCAGAAGCACTCCTCCAACTTGCGTTTTTAAAAGACAACCTAAACGTCACAGAGGTTTAATAAGCAGCAAGTACCTTCGCATCTATTACACTGCAGCCGTTTTCAAAATCGGCTTTGAAAGAGTTAAAAGCCAACACCCAATTGGGGGGGAAAAAAAAACAAGTTTTATTTTTGTTTAAACGTAGTCAGGGTTCCATTGTTCTTTTAAATTCGACCATGAAGATGAGTTCCCCACCTCACCGGAAAGAGGCTAAAAAAGCTCCTCCGTTGGAGAACCTGAAAGGGATTTTTTACCCTAATATCAAAATAACTCACCAGGACAGAAAGAGGCTCTCCTCGTGCGTTGCCCCTCGGGTTCCCGCCGGCCGTCACCCGCCGCCGCCCTTCCCGGGCGGGTCCGGGTCCCGGCAGGGAGGACGCCCCCCGCCCACCC